CGAGTTCGCTGCGCTCACTCGTGAGATATCGAGTTGAACACGAGAAGATAAAATTCGTATCCACAAGCGGGCATGTAATATTCTGTTTATTATATAACACGCTAATGACGAATTGTTTTACGATTTTCCGAAGATTTCCGAAAAATTTCCGAAGATTTCCGAAGATTCTCCAAAAGTTGTCCGAAGGCCAGACAAACGTTTCCGAACATTTCCCGAAAATTTCCGAAGATTACCGAAGATTTCCGAAGATAAACGAAGATATCCGAGGAAGATCCAATGATGTTTCGATCACACAGCAACACGTCTAAGTTCAGTTTAAGCGATTATCGTGTTAGTAACCATGGCGACACCAATATCCTCACACGTGAAAGATAAAAATAGTATCTTCACTGCGCGCGATGAAGATATGATTTTATAGTAAAAGGAGAAATCCTGGTATTTCACTAGTGTTTATATAATAAAAGAAATTTATTACTAACATTTAACAATTATTGCACGAGCGCGCGTTGGCTCAGAGATGATAGACAACCAGCGAGCCATATATCGAACAATTCATATCTAACAAGCGCGAGTCGAATAACTGGGTTATTGAAAACGCCCCAAGAATATAGAAAACTAAAATAAGATAAAAATAAAAAAGCCCCAAAAAATTAGGCGTATGGTTACCGTATTTGTAGTGCACGGTATAATTGCTCATATACCATGATGACTGAGCTAATGAAAACTCTTGAAATGATAAGCGTTATATGAAACGTTTGCTAGCCTTCCTAAAGTGATTCCAACTGGCAGTTTCTAACCCAAACTGAACGATCGCATTTGTGATCTTTACTTAGAGGAACTTTCACATGAAAACGAAATTTACCATTTTTGGGTAAGTAGGCCACATTTTTTGTTCTGCGATTGAACTGGAACAAGTTTGATAGCAGCAACTAATGTGGGAATTTTTTTAAATAAAACTGTTCGGCAAAATACTTTTCTTTGTGAATTATATTCCAACTCTATCCTTCCTATCCCGATAACATGTCTGATATATGGTGCATTACTAGATTCTGACAACTAAATGTGCGACATTCACTGAGAAGAATTTTGATTATCGTAACTCAAATATCGAAACGTTTAGGGTGTGGGACGAAGAAGGTTAAAATACATGATGATGTCCCACCGAAACTGATCGTCGTTTGGTTTTTCTCTAGAATGTTTCATCCAGATGCATAGTGATCCTTGGAAGCTGAAATATTTTGACTTCAGTGATTTCATTAGTTCATCCAGAGCGGAATTCATTGGACGTCAATGGTTATACCGTGAAATGGAAAGTGAATTGCATCATAATAACAAACTTGGTGTGTTAATAACAGGAAATCCAGGCTCAGGAAAGTCAGCTTTTCTGAGTAATTTACTTTGTTCAAACACATCCAGTCCAATTATTCATAACAGAATCCTCGGTTATCATTTCTGCATGCATTTCCACAAATGGACAAGAAGTGGTGCCAATTTTGTTGGAAACCTTGCAAATATGATCGCCCTGCGTCTCATTGAGTACCGTCAGGTCATTTTGACCGATCTGTCTGTCCGTGGAGTGCTGAATAAGGATTGTTCTCAAGACCCAGAGTGGTGTTTCGAGCAGGCAATCCTGACACCTTTGAAAAAACTTAAACAACAGCCTATCGAACCATGGTATATTGTAATTGATGCGTTGGATGAATGCACGGATGCTAAAGCAGAGATTCTGAACATACTTAAAACCAAAGCTCGACGATTTCCTAGGTGGCTGAAACTAATCGTCAGTTCACGTAATGTCACCTCCATCGTTGCAAGCATGGATGAGTTGCAACGACTAGATCTGCGATCCGACGATAGAAGAAATCTTGAAGACATTGACACCTATATATCTTTAAAGGTGTTTCCATTGAAGGAATCCATAGTACAAAGGATTAAGATAGCCCTTGCAATTACCGACAATGAGGCACCAACACAGAACATTGTTTCAAATCTTGCCAAGAAAGGCCAAGGACACTTTCTGTTTGTTAAAGTAGTACTGGACTTGTGGCTTGCAGCAACAGAAAGTTTTACATGGGATACTTTTCCCAAGACCCTTCACAGTTCATATCAACTGTACTTTGAACGAAAGTATGGCACACCAGAATGTTTTCAGTCTCTGCGACAAATTTTCGAGGTCTTAGCTGCAGCATATGTACCCCTTACCATTCATGAAATGCACTCACTGCTCAGGCTTGACAATCCAACTCTTGATCTAGAGTACGAACTAATGCCGAACCTTGACCGGGTGTCTTTGTTCTTGTGGCATGGATCAGGAGACGGCTTTATTCGAATTTATCACGCCTCTTTGTCTGAGTGGCTAACCAGTAAAACCAACAAAGGAAAGTTCTATTACATTAAGAAACAAAACGGTCATAACCGTCTTGCAAGGTACTATCTTAAGAACGCTGTTATAAGCAATTCACCACTTAAACCAGACGAGGCTTTTCATCTGGCAAGTCATATTGCTGAAGGGGGCCTGGACAAATTTATGGTTGAACAATTTCTGTCGCTCCCCTCAAGCCGCATCAACACCACTGACCCTGTGACCCGAGCAACGGCACTTCATCACAGTTCAAGTTCATTTAATGCAGATGTGACTTGGCTTATGGTGCACCACTTTTCTGACGTTGACTGCTTAGATAAACATCACTGCACGCCTTCCTTTATAGCGGCAATTTCGGGGCGTTTAAATAACTTGAAATGCTTGATTAGAAGAGGAGCTAACCTAAGTCACAGCATTAAGTATCTAGCTGCCGAAATTTCTTCTAATTCCGACGATCCCGTCAGTGAATGTAAAAGAAAGTTGTACGGGTACTCACTACTACACGCAGCCGCTCAAGAAGGTAACACTGACGTTGTAAAATTTCTTATTGGTCACAAATTGAATATCACGAGGACAACAGGAGTTAACAACACTGCATTGCAGTTAGCAGCAACAAATGGGTACCTTCAGACCGTCCAGGCTCTCAAGGAAGCTGGCGGGGCTCTGGATGGTGTCTCACTACATCATGCGGCCGCTAGGGGTCACAACAGTGTGGTACAGTATCTACTGAGAGAAGGAATACAAGACGATTGTGTCCACGATATTCCTTCCACGATGTTTTCTGATCAAGAGGACAGCGAATTGAAAGCATCCAAAATACATGAATGTGACAATCGTCACCTTTACTTACGTGAAACAGCTCTTCATGTGGCAGTCAGGGGAGGTCATCTTTCTGTAATTGAGTCATTGCTGAATGAAAACCAAAGTGCTATTAACTGCACAAATTCTGCGGGTAGACGCCCACTTCACGAAGCTGTGCAGACAAACAATTAGAACACACTGGAAGCACTTGTAGCATTAGGAACGAATACCTCTGTTCAGTGCGACACTAAAATAGCATCATCAACACAGTTTGAACCCTCCCTTCCGTATAAAGTTGCTCAAGATCATTGTCCGTGTGGGTTTTCTCCTCTGCACATTGCTGCTATGTATGGCAACCACAGCACCGCTGAGCTGTTTATCAAATTTAGAGCGAATGTAAATGCAGGTGATTGTAGTGGCTCAACTCCTCTCCACATCGCCTCCTGTCATGGATTCCCATCACTTGTGACTCTCCTGGTTAAAAATGGAGCAGATATCGATGCAGCAAGTCTGAATAGGTCGACTCCCCTTCACAGTGCTGCGGTTTGTTACGCCAAGGCCATTTTTCGCCCCCTGTTCGAATTCGGCTGCGATTACCATGCCTCTGACAATAACGGAATGACAGCTTTGCACTACGTTGTGAAGGATATAAAATTCGTTGGCTCTGAGTATCTTATTGATTTGTATACCAGACAACCAAAAGACTGGATAGAAGATGTGAAAGGTGTCTCTCGAGAAACAGCTTCAAGTTTAACGAATGAAAAGTATCCCTGGTTAGAAGCATTTGTTGAGCTTGTGGTATGTTCTGCTACAACGGGGACACTCCAAGATCCTTCGCTTCTCTCGAGTATTGATAAGAAAACTCAAAAAGTGTGGGATAAATTAGCGCAGAAAACTAATGTTTCAAAAATTTTACTAGGAAGTAATCAACATGAACGTCATCTATTCACACTATTATTAACTCCTTACGGTTTTGCATACGATTTCATTATCAGTGAAAACCTAAAAACCCAAATTGAGTTTCACGATCCGACCGAGATTCTAAGATATATCACGAGATTTCTGGTGAAAACATTTCCAACCATGTTTCCAGAGTCGACGAACTGCTCTTCTTTGTTGAGCGAGGTGACTCGCAATTTCGTTTATACCATGAACACGGGATTAAAATTGGGTCTGGATGTTAACTGCCGCGATGTGTCAGGAATGACTCCTCTTCTAGTATATTTACGTACCGGTGGCCGACATATGTCCAACGTCCTAGTGAAACATAACGTAGACGTGAAAATCACCTGTGGAGATTCCTTTGAGAATTCAGTCTTCCACTTAGCCTCGTATCACAAGCTGCATTACCTTCATTACCTTTCTGAGTTTTTACTGAGTAAAGACAACTGGAAGAAATATCTACAAACAGAAAATGCAATATTTGACTACTTCATTCATAGATATGAATGTCAAAACTACAAAGGAAATGTTGAAACTATCAGAACTGGAGACGGGTCATTGACCTTGGCGAGTCTGTCTCACCCAATGGGAGCTAAGGTCATTGACCAATGTTTCGATGTGGAAGGCTATAACGCCCTTCACAGAGCAGCTCAAGGAGCAAATTTGATTGCCATTCACAGGTATCTCTCCTTAGGAGCTAACGCCCTACTTAAGAATTCAAACGGCTTTTCATCGTAATGGTTGTCAGTATTATATGCTGTCAAATACCGACTGTTCTTGAGTCTTCATATACCAAATGAATTAACAGCCCTAGAGGTGGAAGTTGCTTCTTGGTCAGCCTTAGCTCTTCTGGATCATATCCTTAAATACACCACCATGAATATAGGCTGTGATAGAAGTCGTTCAGATCTGACTTTATACCACATTGCTGCTAGTCGAGGAATGTGGACATTCGTAGAACGTTTACTTTGGGAAAAGAGAGTCGTAGGCATTGATGTAAACTGTCCAAACAAAGATGGAATTACTCCAATGTACTTGGCCAAGCACTTTGGTGGCGAGTCTTGTGAGTGGGACAGTCCATGGTGCAAAGTTGTTGATGTAATACAGCGTTTTAATGGAAATCTCCAATATCCTACCCTGGAATCGGAATACTTCCTCGTCAGTACTATTGAATACCGGTTTACTGCAACATTATATCTTGATCTTACTAAACGAGAAATGGCACTTCTGCAGGACCCTGGGCGTCGTGATTGCCAAAATTATACAACAATGGCTGCTGTCAGCCTTTTAAGAGCGTATGATGATTTTGAAAGAATCTCCAGTGAATATCAACTCAAGAGTGAGAAATGTGCATTGTTTAAGGAAGATTGTCCAACTGAAAATCTTGGCTTGCCGACCTTGACTATTTGCTTCATCTCATTGATATGCAGAAGCTTAGGAAAGTGTCATTCTTTTTCTTTCGAGACTGCTTTACAAGCTCTCTTGATGACGAAATCAAACAAATTAAAGAACTTCTATTAAGTACCATTAAGTACCATTAAAAGTCATTCAGAAGAATCCTCGGAAGATTTTGTAACCAACTGGAAACGTCAGTTGTCCAAGATTCAGCTGAGAGCCAGGGAGGATCCTATGTTCCGTGGGGTTATCAGGTGCTCTTTGTGGAGCCAAAAACAAGATCTTCATGAGACGTATTTCATTTACAAACAATATCTAGAATTTGTTTTGGAAGACTTGTTTCAATTAAAATCCGTCATCAGTAGAACATTACCACGGTTTTTGGGAACGATGGACACAGCGTTGCGCAATTTTGAGACAGCTTTAAACTGTGACTGGCGAGCAGTTAGCGTCAAGTATGTACAGCTTGCATACTACTTGCGCAACCTATGGCGCATTTGGACCTTCCATCAACCGTCTCTACCGCTAGTCACCTCAGACTTTCTTTCACGCCGAATTAAAAGTGTTCTTCTACAACCATCAAATGAATTGCTGGAACTTATGTTGAGGTTGGCATCAAAGCAACAAAGTGACCCGTTTAAATATCTCAAGAGTTTATTATTTATGAAACCACCACTGTGGGAAAACAAAGACAAGAGTTTTACGAGTAAAAGGTCTGGGATGGTTCTCGAAACGTTGTCTTCCCTGTCCCCTTTTGACTAAGTATTTAAAGGCCCGTCGTTTGAACACCTTGGGTCGCCCGCGTTATGGGAATTGCTCATTCAGCAAGGTCTTAGTTTTCCTGATAAAATTCAAAGGATGTACCTGATGAAATATACAAACAGTACGTTCTCCATTATATTTTTGTATCAATAGCTAATACTGATAGGTCAAAATAATGTCATTAAAGACTTTTTCTATACAACAACAACGATAATGACATTGTATGTATTCTTAATACATGTATTCCTCCATTTAACAAATCGAATGTGGCTTAGCGTTGTCTGTACTCTTATCGAGAACGATATGCGTCATCACAGTTGTCAAAATGTTGTGGACTCACGAGGCGCAGCCACAATATCCACATCAAAGAAAATGTGTTTTTCAGAGCGTGACCAAGAGCGTGCACATTGACGCGACAGCGTTGCCTGGATTCTTATGGACAACGGGAAATTAGCCAATCAGATTGTGAGATTAGTAGCAATTGTGGTAAAATATACTTTTGTTGTAAATAGCTAATATTGATAGGTCAAAGTAATGTCATTATAGACTTTTTTTTCTTTACATGTATTTCTCCATTAAACTTTTGTTATAAATAGTGTATATTACTAGTTCTTTACCTTTACTGTTGTTGTTGTTGTTTATAGTGGTCAATGCGCTTAGCTACACCTGGCTAGTTCACAGGCATGCCACTTAAACTGAGAGAAACAAATATATCAACTAACCATACTAGCCTTAAAAATCCCAACTGGCGGGAGGCAGACCGGTTGGTTATTTACAAGCATGACCGAGGAGTTGAACTAGGGTCTACCGAGAAACAACTCCAGCTTAGTGGT